AAATGGGTCACACTGTATATATTTAACCAAAAAAACAATTTCAAAAGTATCCATTGAAACTTCATCATAAGATGTTTATTGCGGGTCACTTCTTTTTCAATAATGCAGTTGCTAGAAAAAAATATAGAAATATCAAGAATGAGTATTCCACCAATGATATATAGGAAGAGATAAAATATCATTTGCAAAATGCAACCCTGTTACCACCGATTTGGTAAAAAATACATACAGTTAACTACTCTGTAATATTCATCATGTATATTACAATTTGTAATATCTATCGATATTATTAGAGTCAAGTCAAACATTAGACAACTTCAATCAGAAAACATGAGATTTTTTTCGAATGCTTCCCTCTTATCAAAAAGTTATCTGATCATTCGCGAACAAATTTCGAAACCGCGATTCTAAATGCGTTACAATTTATTCAATAGTTTACAATACTCTATTCTTGTCCCCTTGATATTCTCTATTTATACTGCACATTAGTGCACATTGACCATCGAATCTACAATCTTGTCAAAGTTATTTTTATAAAGATGACTCTCAACTTCAAAAAAGATATCCAACTGAAATGAAAAATAATGCATATAAACTCGTGAACATGCTCAGATCAAAAATCGAGGAAATATTATTCGTCAGTTTTCATTATATCCTCGTCCAAGATAAATCTTTTGGGTCCTTAGATGAAGAGTTTTGATAGATGCATTCTTGGAACCCAACATCTTTTTTTCACATGAAAAATTCAAGTGTGAGTCTCTTGAAACGTCCAATTATCAATGACATGAATGTAATATACAGTCAAAAATTGATTATCGAATAGATGAAAAAGAATCCAAAAAGTACAAAACCCTTGAAGTGTAATGTTAACTCGGTAAAGTTCAGGACAGAATATTCAATCTGCACAAATGATTCTGAAACCGACAATGGGACTAGAGCTGGAATACATGTCGCGGAAAAAATTCAAATTCACGTTACAACTACCTGCTCGTCAATACATATCCGTTTTTCAAGCGAAGTACATGCAATCTTGAGTGCTCAAAGAGTAACTATTTGAAGCTTCAACAAAATGAGCAGATAAATATTCCTACAGACAGACAGGCTGCATTTGGATCACTGATCACTCCAAATGTGACGTCGAGACTAGTCTGGTAATACTGTGGAGAACTGAGAAAACGAGGCAACAAGAATAGGTTCACTCTATACTGAATGGCAGGATACTCTGCGGTTCACAGGTAACTAAAAAGGTAGACACTGATCATCAGCTTCAAATATTTGCCATGAACTAGCTATGAAGGTACCAAATCTCCAGTACGGAACCAAATCATTGAATATGTCAATAATGTAAGATAAATAATAAACAATAAGATACATTAATACAAAATATGCTAAGAATGATTATGAAGCTACTTGTTGGAAATTATCCATTTAAAGAAAAAAACGCATGTATAATGAAGACCTCAACTGCGAATTGGTAAGAAATTTATGGATATCTTGAATTATGTTCTGATTAATAGAATTTGGAAACTCTAGCGTGAAATGAATCTACTCAAAACACTTTTCTCTCACCACAACAAAGATGCTGTATCTCGACGCTATATAATTTAGCACCATCAGGAGATGAATTATATTTTTATGTTCTAATAATCTCCTGATGATGCTGACTTGNTAGGTATCATTTTATAGGGATGCATTTTATTTTTTTTTTCAATATGTTTACTATTGATATATCGCCAACATTGAATGTAGTGGATGCCTGTCTACTCGATGTATGTGGGTTTTTCTCAAACTCAAGCATCACATCTAATTTGAGTTCATCACTCATTGCATTGGCAATCTCCTTTTTTTATCTGCCCTACATGGCCAAGCTCGCGAAACTGCTTCTCTATTTTGCTTATTGTTCCTTGAGATACTGTTTTTTTATGCATTTCCGTTAATCTAACCATTTGTCAGACTTGCAGTTAAATAACTTCAAACTTAAATTAAAGTACTGACAACTAATGTTACGATCATGAAGTAAACATGTTTAATATTTCAAAAGTTCAGAATCCAACATGGTTTGTTTTCTTCTCCCTCCGTTATGCTTGATTATATTCCATCCCGGTCAAAAATATACACATATCCCTTCAATTCAAAATCGTGTCATAAACATAACATCGTGTTCGACAAAACGTCATCCTGGTAATAATGCAGATCGTAGATAAACACAGCTCGATGCTCGTGACATCTACAATCAATTTAACGAAATATCATTCCAGAGATGTGCTAGAGCTGGCAATTCAATGTTTCACATGCATATGAGTGACACTTTCCGTCGTGAAATGGTGGAAATAGGTTTAGAGGGAGAACAGACTACCAAGGCCGTAGGGGTATACCCGAGATTAACAAAATAAAATTGAACAGATACTACAACAAAACAGAAGGGCCTTGACACCAAAGTAAACTTTCCACTGAAACTCTATAGTTAGAAGAATGGGTGAAAAACAGTTATACTAAGGAGGAGTTGACAATTTGTTGAATTAAGTTCGAATTGAAATTTTATTTCTTCATTAGATAATAACTAATTTCAAATTTTCAAGAATTTCAATTCCACAGAACATTAAAATCTGAAGTTATTAAAATAGAAAAATTTTTCAGTGAATTTTCATTGAGAAAAAAACTTCATCTAGTTTTCCATCAGCGTATAAAGCGTGAGAAACTTTCGAAGGGAAGAAGGAGAAATAAATAAATCATGCACAGGAAACAGCAGTAAAACATTCATCCGAAATAAGTAAGTATTTTTTATCGGAAACGTTTAATTAAACAAAACACTTTTTTATTCAGTTTGTATACCAAACATCCATGAGAAATCTAAACAAATGGCTACTTACACAAACAATAATTTTCCCGCAGAAAAAGTATCTTCATAAAACAAACTTCTGTAGCTGAGATTCAGTTTAGGTAGCTGTTTTCTTTTATGTTAATGGCGGGAAATGCCAGAGATCCCATCTGTGGAATCGTTAAAGCACTCTATCCTCGAATATCAAAGATAAACTATGCTCCTAAAGACAATCCGTTGCAAAGCCTATCCTCATCATCGACCTCAACAAGATTCGTCTTTCTTCACCGCAATTTTCACTAAAGAGTAAGACTTGTGCACATTGCCAATTGCACAAATCAATTTAATGCAGAGTGGAAATGAATTCTGACTTTATGCCTCCAACTGTAGTTCGGCAGAGCCGTACTATTACCATCTGACCTGAAAGACTACTCACCATTCAAACTAATCGGCTTCGTTAAGAAGCTGGGTTTATTTGGTCGAGTGTGAACAGGTGTGAGCCACAATAAACGCTTGCGGGTTGCGGTGGAGGTTCGAATAGACCCACTCACGGTAGATAAAGAAGTGGCAATTCTAATGAAGCGATTTTTGAAATATAAGTTATTTGTACATGAAGAAAGAAATATACGTTATTTGTACATGAAGAAACATTGTTCAAATGCAAGAGAGTGGAATTTGTGAAGGGCCATGTAAATCAAATAAGCGCTTCATTTTGCCGCTACAGGTATCGAAGTGGACATTTGAAAATGTTTTCAACAGATACTTCCCTTTCCAAGATTTGTTTCTCGACCAGGACAATAGAGACATTTGAAAGATAAAAAATTTGTTTGGCTTTTTGCTTCTCCATCTACGTACAAAAAATGTGGAAGACTCACAAAGTACAGAAAAAAGCAGTTACGTTCAAAATGAACTATTTATAAAGATGTGTAAATCTTGTATAGAAGTAACTCTCAGATACTAACTGGAAGAAAAAGCCTTTCCGAAACAAATAGTTTCATATAAAATAGTCACTATTTTTTGGGTTTGGAGGCCGTGGACTTCTAGAATTTCTTCCTGACGTTTTTCTGGTGCAGAGATTACTTAGGTTGTATAAACTCCTGAAGAAGTTAGCATGATGCATAATCCACACATCTCTGTAAAACGTTCATTTTGGATTTAATCACAGACATCCTTCCTTCGGAAGTTCCCCACATTTTTCATTGAAGATGGAGAAGAAGAAATCCAAAAACCTTTTCACCCAATGTTTCTTCATAATTAAATGAAACTGAGCAAAAAATCGAAATTGAACAATTACAAATGAGATTGAAGAAGGTAAAAATGTTTTCAAACCAAAACACTTCACAACGTTTCGATTGTTAGTATTCACAATTGGCTTCGGATGATGTCTGGATTGCTGCTCCAAGAGATGACGAGTAATTTGGTTTGAAACCTTTTTCACCGTTTTCAATTTCATTTGTAATTGTTCTATTTTCAGTTTTTTTGTTTAGTTTTATTTTATTGTAATTTTATTTCACGTTTTCATCGCTCAATATAATTGATATTTTTAGCTATTCATAATAATTACATTTGTTTTTTCAGATATTTCAAATCATATCAGAATCATATCAGAAAGTGGAAGTCTGAACTAGTAGAATTCATTTTGTTGCTGTTTGGCTACAGACCAAAATATGTAATCGAATAGAACTTGGTGAAAAATGATAATAGTATCCATGAATTCACAAAATACCTTTTGAAATTTGAAATGCAGAGGTTCACTGAGCTCTTTCCACAGGCATACATTTCATCAGCACTATAAAATTTAATTCCAACTACTGAAATATCAATTGAAAGGGGTATATTTTTAGGATGAATTTTGGGGAGAAAAACATTTTTTTTGGATATCTACTTCACCATCTTTATACAAAAAAATGTGGAAAACTTTCTTAGGAATGAAGGAGGCATATAAGTTCAAAATAAACTCTTCCTAAAGATATATAGATCATGCCTAGAAGTTACTTTTAGATACAAAGCCGAAAAGTTTTTTCCAGAAATTGAAATTTGAATTTGATGATACTGAAGAAAATGAGGGAATAATTTGCTTGGAGATTTTAAATATACAAAAAATAAAATATCAATATTCCTTCAGAAGTTGGACGTTGATATTCAAGAACACAGGTCACCTGGATACTTCTGGATCAGGTTTGAAAACCAGATCAATGAATATGAATTGTTGAGATAGTGAATAGTTGGATAAAAAATCAATTCATTTTTCTTAATCTGGAAAATTTTCAGTTAATCTGATGTGCAACTATATTTTGAAGTGATCTCAATTTTTTTACTCCACATCAAATTTACCGATAGTTCAATGCTAGGCAGCACTTACAAATGAACAAACTACCTGAACCCACCTAAAACCACTTTTCAAACCAAGTGATATGAAGTGATGGGAATTTTATAAGACTTGAATAAATACTGCCATAGATGAGATTGATCAATAGAAAACACATCGCCCATATTTGTTTCGGTGTTTTGGAGGTCTTTCCTTATTGTTTGCATCTGTATACTTGTACATTTTCGGCAAAAAACCAGTAGTATCCATAAAAGTGCATAATTGGAAACTCACTATAAATCTAATCTTAAAAAAATTATGTTTTTTGTTTCCATTTACCACGTCTGCTATTTCATGCATGTAATCACGTGAAAAGCATATAAGAGTTCGTGTGGAAATCCTAAAAGTTCACCTCAGATAATCAGATTGAACTAAAAGCAAAAACTCGAAGACCGCAGCAAATATAAATATAAATCCACAACGAAAAACAGATAGTAAATCCCGTATCAAACCGTGATTGAATTCAGAAAAGTTGCCTCTCACTCTTATTTCTGTTAAATTTATGATACCATGTTTTCGAATCTCATAAAATAAACTTGATTTTCGAAAGGTTTCTCATTTTTGAATAACCTAAAATGGACGGAAAAATTCAAAACACGATAACCAAACATCAAAACATACGGTTCCTCAATTGAAAGGGGTATATTTTTAGGAGAGTTTTTGGAAATCCTCCAAAGAAAGGATGAAAGCATTTGATTTCGAATTGAACAATTTACAAAGATGTTTAGATCATGCTAATTCCATATAGTCATTGAATTACATGAAAGAAAAATACTTTCAAAACTACTCTCATATGAACATGATTTATACAAACTTTTGTTATGAAATTGAATCAGATTATCCAGAATGGTGCTGAAGAGGCATTAAGGCGTGTCTTATTCCGAAACATCGAATGTCTGCCTTGAGGATGACAGTGTTCCGTGTAAGTGAAATTTTACCTCTACTACTAGATTGTGTAGCAATCCTGTGGATGATGTCTGATTCAATTCCACAACGAATTTTTGGCGTACAAATTGAATGGGAAACCGCGTTTTCTGTATAATTCAATGATCTTTCAATAGTTGTTTCAAAAGTACTTTTCTTTCGTGTAATGCAATGTTTATGAAAGAAGTTATTTCGAAAACGCTTTCTTTCGTTTCTGCCTGAAAATCACTCCTTTGCAAGATCTCCACAACTATAAATCGTTAATTTTGCTTTCATATTCTCTTTGGAAGATTAAGACAATTTTTTTCAATGAAGATGAAGAAGTAGAAAGCCAAAATATTGTTTCATTAAAAAAAATGGTTACATTCAATATGGTATGATATAATCATTGCATAAAGATCTTTATACTATGGTATAATATGTTAATAATTGGAGAGCTATATAGACTGATACTATATTAATTATTATTATCAGATTAAATACGTTAGTTACCGTAAGCATTTCATGCACATCATTATTGTCCAAACATATTTATATTCCTGAAATTTTCAATACATTTCGGGGTGAAAACATGCTTTTTTAATTCGAATAACTTTTTATTGATCAAGTCGCGTCCATGCTTCCAGATCAGCTTAATTTTTGTATGTTTTTTATTTCCAATCCTTTTGTGACAATTATTGTGAATGATTCACTAATATTACAATTTTCAGATATATAAAAATCACTTATTCAAACGTACCTAAGGAAATTTTGTGTCCAAATTATGAAGATGGCAGATTCAAACATCTGATGGTTTGATCACTTCATATTAGCAAGTTTTGTCTTCACTAAACTTTTTCTCAGTATTTATTACATAAGTAACAAATTTTTCAAATAAGTAAAAATATATCATTCATGCGTAGATTTTTTATTTTCACATTATGCGTCTATCCCACCTTATATTTTTCTCAATGATCAACTGTCGGATTACATAAAAGTATCAAAAATGTCATTCGTCGTGAACTTTAACAAAAAAAAATTACTTTTTTCGAAAAGCGCAGCAAGCGAAACAGAAAATCTTTGTAAACTTACGATTTTTTGTGTGGAGGGTCACTCTGTATTCACCTGTTGAAACTATTACGAAGTTGAGACTGTTCGCAGTTTCTCCCGAGCCCTTTTATATGAATACAAGTCGCACGCCGGCGCTACCGGTATCGGGAGGCGGCACAACAGAAACTTTGGGTAACGGCACCGAAGTTTTTTCGCCCACGTGAGAATCAAACTTTAGGACAGAAACAATATGCGACGATTAATGTACTGGTAATCTTTGTTCCGATGATTTATTCAGGATTGCACCATGGTTCGGTTTTAGGACGATTATTCGTGTGTGATATTCCAAAAAGATAATCTTTTCAGTTGCTGCTTCACAGAATCAAACAGATAAAGTGGGCTAGGAGTTGGGTTAGGCAAAAAACGCAAGTGTTTCTTACGAAATATTGAAATTTTAATAAGACTGTGTCAATCACACATTATAACTGCAGAAACTCTCCCACTACGGTAAATGGCCCTGAAGTGGATGGAATCATATTTGACAGGACGAAACCAACTGGTTAAAACTGACCATCCTAAAAGTTAGTTGGGGAGTACCCCAAGGATCAGTTTCCCTCTTAGATATATCTGGGTTCTTCACTTTATTTGCCGACGAGTGAATTTGCTTCGAAATAATGTTACAAGAGACCTACAAAAAATTAAGTTGTGATGCGATGCAAATTTTCTATGTTTAAATTTAAATAAAAAAAGTTCTTACATTTAAATTTTTTC